ACGAGAGGTTTCCAGGGACGGATGAAGCACAGAGAGTGGGCTCCATTCTCCCCTTCCATGAATTCATGGGCCTTCCTGCCCTTTTGTAATGTTTCATTTCTGGCCACGCTGCAAAGCAAGGCAGACATTTGGCCCTTTGCTTGGATGTCTCATCAATTTAATCAGCCCACAGCCTTCATTCAAGCCATTTTACAAAATTTAACATGCAACTGCCTGCTATCAGAGCTGGACATTTCACTTAAAGGAGTGCATTTATAATCAGATAAAATGATGTCCCTACTGTATATGTTGCTTTTCATCCAGGATAGCAAAGACCTTTGTGGAAACATGAATTGTAATTAATGAAATCTTACAAGTTTTGAACTATTAAAAAACTGAAGAGCCTTTGAGTTTAGATGGCCTTTATTATCACACAACATGAATTCTGCACCAATCAGTGAGCTTCTTATAAAATAAATAATACTCATTAAACCGGTTTTATCTTGGGAAGAAAAAACAGAATCATAGTACCAGCAGAAAGGAGTGTGATGGTTTAATTGGTAAGATTTTTGAGGCACAAAAAGGAACAAAAACCCAGGAGGTTAAATTGAGTTCACAGAAACCTAATCTTTAATTAATCTTTGAAATAAACACCTGACCTCACACAGTCTTTGTAGTTAAAACTCAACATTCCTGAAGGGAGCTTTGCCACCTAATCTAATACCAGTTTAGAGCAGGGGTCTCAAACTCTCAGCCCGCGGGCCATCTGGGGAGGCTAGTGGGCTGCAATGTGGCCCGCAGGGCTCTAGCAGTTTTGGGGCCGGGTCTCTCCCTTGGCACCACCTGCCTCCCCCAGGCGCTCCCCCCTCAGGGGCCCCGGCAGCACAGTGGAGCTGAGCGGCGTCTGCCTGCTCGCTCTAGTGGCTGCTAGTCCCTCCCTGTGGCCCAGGGGCGGGGCTGTGCCGTGCCTCCACACGCTGTCTCCGTCCCAAGCGCCCCTGCAGCCAATGGGATGCTGCGGGGGCGGTGCCTGGGAGCAGAAGCGCACAGAGGCCCCCCAGCCCACCCTGCCTTGGAGCCCCAGGTAAGCGCTGCACCCTCTTCCCCTTCCACGCACCCCCAATCTCCCTCCCAATGCCTGCGCCGCATCCCCACACCCCCCAAACTCCCTCCCAGGGCCTGCACCTGACCCCCTCCCCCACCCAAACTCCCTCCCATAGCCCAACCTCTCACCCCGCCTGCACCCCAATCCCCTACCCCAGACCTCTTCCCCCACCTAAACTCCATCCCAGAGCCTTGGGCAGGTGGGGGCGGAGTTTTTTTTTGGCGGGGGTGGGGGGGGTTCTAGGAAGCATGAGTGACATTGGCCCACTGGGAAGATTTGAGGACTGGCACTGGCCCTAAGGTAAATTGAATTTGAGACCCGTCGTTTAGAGATTACTAAATATTAGATTTATCTAAATTCATGCTAAAGAGTGATTGTCCACATGGAAAGTATCAGAAGGGCTGCCAATAATATATATAATTTTTTTTTTTTTAAAGTACTGCAACACCATGAGCGTTGCTGGACATCTGGTATGATCGTGTCTTGTAGCAGAATACGCTTTGCTAGTCATAATTTTGAATGTTCTTTAGAAGAGATGAAGAATTGGCGTCTAATTTTCTGGAGATTAATAGCCTTTCAAATTCAACTTCAAAGAATGTTCACCAGGATTTAAGAAACTAGCAAGAATGGGGTTATTTTACACTTCTTGACACTGAACAGCTGCTTGCTCTTTGAGCTAAAGGGCTTCAAGCTTTTGATCAACAGTCAGCAAAGGGTAAAAGCCTGTTTTTAGTTACATTGCCCTGCACCCTTTTAAAGGAACATTACAAAGCAAAACCAGAGTTAAACCCAGCATCCTAGCAAGGCCAGGGGGTGGAGGAGAGCCCATTCAGCACTTAAAGGAATTTTAACTCACTTTCTAAAAAATTTCTGTGACACCTTCTTAGGTGCTATCCAATTCACTGGCAATAGCCATGAATGCATTTGTACTTTTTTGGATGACAATGTCCCATGCTACCCATGCAATCCATGGTATTTTGTACTGTCACTGACGCATGCATTTGGGGATCTCTTCAAAAGATCTAAGAAGTACAAAGAGAATTTCAGAGGGGAAAAAAAAAAAAAAAAATAAGAAAAGTAGTCAATTTTTGCCCCTCAGTACATGCCACAGTCTGGCTAGAAGGGACATTCAGCACATACACTTCCCATTATCTTAATTTTGATTACTTTGTAGTTCACTTTAACACTGGCCCACTAGGACGAACATTTGAAGGGTGATATTAGGTTTATTCTGTTTGAAATAACAGTAGGAAAATATTAATTATGGACTGATTGGTGTACTAGTTTAGCACACACACAGTTTTGACTTCAAATCCTTCATTGGGTTATAAGTAGAATGAGTTTAATGGTTCCTTCTGTGACCTACATAATAAAAGCAGTTTTGTACAACCGCTAGTATTTGTTTAAAAGAGCCCCTTTTGGGGGGGGGGAAGGAGCAAAAACAAAACAAGGAAAACCCAAGCAGTGAAGAACACTTACCATGTATAAATCCAAAGTTGTATATTTAAACACAGAGCAAGAGGAATTCTTGAGAATATAAAGCTGTCAAATTCCCAGTCAAGCCCCTCTCGTTCATTCACTAGACTACTGTGAGGAACCCAGCCACTGAAACCCCTAGGTGGTTTAAGCCTCCAGCGTCTGAATGGAGCCCAGCTACTGCCCCACTCTTGGGGTCCCGGGGCACATTCTCAGGGTGCAGCAAACTTTCTGAATAGCATCCCATCGTGACAGCTGGAACTTACTGTCCAACTGCCTAGCCTCTGGCTCCAGCACTCACTTGTTCAAACTCCCCCATATCTTAGATACACCTTCTCCCAGAATCCCACCATAAGAGAGTACAGATCAGTTAGGAAAGTAATTCCTAACTGCAATGTTCCTCATAGCGCACCCTTCTCTTGGGAGTCCTTGGGGGAACCATCTGTATTTAGGAAGGTAGGGAGGCAGGCCCCTTGAAAATTGAGTTTTCAGCTTGGTAAAGATACATACAGAGTTCATAATATCACATAGAATTAATTACTTTTATAGAGATTCCCCAAATAATCACACACAAAAACATACTAGCTTTAAACAAGCCCTGAAATATAAATAATCATAGCACGGTTCAGTGAGGACTTTATCATTCAGAAATAGTAGATGGTCTACATTAGTGTCACAGGAAAGACTGAATAATCAAGGTAGGACACTAGAGGAGGAAGATCTTGAAGGCTGAGTAAGTCCATCTACATAGCAGACTGTCTGATTTCTGACCTATTTCTGTCTGTGGTTAGTGCTAACCAGATGCCCTGGAAATTACAGATGGCAGAACTTAAACTTGAGCATATACACAAGAGTGTGGAAGACAATCAGTCCTCTGTGCTTTTACCAGAATTTTTGCACACAATTAGGGGACTTCAATACATACAAAAAGCCTGTGAAGTATATTTCTCTGCCCTTACATGTGGGGCAAAGGCATCTCTCTCTCTCTCTACACTTGACTAGTTATTGGCCAATCTTGTGAAGCCATACACTCAACTTGTTGACATTATTCCATCTGTCTGTAACAACTAACTATTGAACACCACATCTGATAAATTCCAAAATTTCAGGGAATGTTCTAGGCATGAGTGGCCAGAACCATACTGATTTTGGGAAAATCAGAAAGCCACAAGGGAGACAAATAACGGGGATGCATTGAGCCCTGCCATCTATTTAGCATAGCCACAGCTTCAAGCACCTCTGCAATTGTCTACGCATCAAACTGGTTGACAGCAACCATAAAAACTTTCAGCATGACAGTACATTATCTCATCTCTGCTCATCCTCCCCAGAGAGTTTAATATACTGACACTCTCAATGACCTATTCCCAGATAAATAATAATGGTGGTGGGGAGGGGGAAATGGAGACATGCACACAGCCCTTGGGATGGGGAACAACCGGGGGGTGAGGGGAGAGAACGGTGGCCCCCCAATGTGGCAAAGGTACACAACTTTTAGTTGGGTGAAAATCGGGGCCCTAGCACAGCGGGGCAGACAGAGCTGCTGGCATGGGAGAAGTGGGAACAGGGTGCACACAGGAGCCCTGGCACAGAGAATGGGGCACATCCAGAGCCCCAGGCATGGTGGAGGGCTGCAGGGAGTCCCTAAAACAGAATGGGATGGGAGGGTCACACAGAGCTCATGGGGGCAATGGAGGAATGAAAGGAGGCCCTGGTATATGCAATGAGCTCAACCTAGACAAGCTATGAAGTGTGCGAGCCCTTCAGTAGCTAAAGACATGAAAATTCCTCAGCTGTGTGCATCTACATAACTGTTGGCACAACTAGCTACTTCTCTTCTAGGGAAGAACGGTTTTCAGGATGGTACACTGTCTACCGGTTGTCTTTACTTGAGGCACTAGTTGATATCTGCTGGCTACATTCATTTTACACATACTGGGCCAGAACTTCCAATCCAGGAAAAACTCTTCTCAGTGCAACACTGGGATAGGTGAGGCAAAGGCAGTTTTAAGACACCTTTATACTCTTTCAATCCTAGGGCTGGCCTGGGTCTGAGCTGGCCAAGGTCTGAGCTGGCCCTTCATGAAAATTAGAACAGCTATTGCAATACTGTAACTTATGCCTAGTTAGTCAAAATGCTGTTCTGGCAGTTGGAGATCACTGAAATAGAGGGATGCCCCGTGCCCTGTCAATCTCCTGAGGTGGCATAGAACCAGCACACCTTTCATGGTGTATTTGATCATTTATTTCTTATTTTCCTGTTCTGGATATGTTGGTGCTTGTCTATTGGTACAACCGTTAAAAGTCATACAGGATTATAGAGTTTTTCAGCTAGTTAAAACTTAAGATATTTTAGTTTCCTGCAAAAAGTGGGACAGGATTCTACTGTTAATCAGGTCTTAAACAAAAATTAAATCATCAGAAGGACTCAGTGAAAAAGTTTAGTCAAGCAAGTCCATTTATTGAGCCTCTAAGAGGTCTCTGTTTTAACTGCAACAAAAGTCACTTCGCAACATACAAAATAAATACAGGACACAATTATGATAAGGCTCTTTTCCATATGGATAATCTTGGGAGCATGGGTTAGAAAGACTAAAATCCTGTCTAGTAGACAGAATGCATGCCTAAAGCCTGATTCTTAGAAAAGGTTTCTAGGACCAGTCAAGCTACCCAAAAGGTTCCCTTAAAAGAAACATCTGAAGTACAACACTACATTTAGAAATTGAATTATGTACTGGAGGAAGAAAGTAAGGCAGGAAGGGCTTGTATTTACATAAAGAGCATGCAATACAGATCATCAAATGGACATTCATTTTACATTTAGAGTTTATACTGTTAGCATGGGTGAGGAACTAAACTAGACAGTTCTCAATTTTAAAAAGGTTCTATGGTGCCTACCATAATTGGATCTTATAGCTGCAGACATCTGACTGCTAAGGGCAACAACAAGGTATGGAAACTGTCCCAAAGTATGTTTGACAGAGATCATTTTAATATTGCACATTTCCATTCATTGAAGACAAGGGTTTAACTGAACGGAGACAGTTTGGCTTTTAGCCTCTCCATTCTTGTTGGAAGCAGACCGACCATTTCTTTACTGAGTTCTAGTTCAGTTTCTATGGCCTGGACAGCTTCTGGATGCTTCTCACAATAGTCTACTAGAAATGTGTAATATTCCAATGAGGTCTGCATATTCTCCAGTTGTTTCTTGCCATCAGAAGTAATAAGCTTGCCATATAATCGTGCAATGTGAAATTTGGCCACCATTGCAGGGCGAAGAACATCATCCTCAAGTTTTTCAGGAAATATCTTATCTGGGTTCCTCAAAGAATCTAAGAAGAGTTCATAGTACTTGACTGCTAACTGAGCCAGAGAATTAATTTTTTTTATAGTATGAGAGTCGAGTTCCTCTAGCCTGTTACCAATAGCTACCTTTAAATCCATCATCTCATAATAGGTGTCCGCTAATTCAAACTGAAGCTGCCTACTTATCAGCAGGTAATACTGTGGATTCAAATCCACATACATGGGCTCCAGCATATCTATTCTACGCTTGTGCATCTTGCAGCGTCTCTCATAATCTTCTTCAAAGAAAGCAAGCACCTTAAACAAGGCACTGTGGTCCTGAACAATTTCAATATGGTCAGTAACATAGCCATCAAACTGAAAGAACTCTTTTGCTTCATGAACATAATTCTGACCCACTAGGAAGACTTCTCTGGCTTCTTGAAAATCTAAAGGACATATACAGCTCACTTTCTCTTCTGTGGCTAATATAGAGTCACATAGATCACTGGTTCCAAAGAGGACAGCTTTCTTCCTGCCCTTCTCTTTTTCATCTTCCTCTTTTTTCCTTTGGACTTTAAGTTCTGATTGCCTGTCTGGATCCAACTCTCCGATATTATCCTAAAAATGACAGAGCATGTTAGTTTAAAATACATGTGGCTACAGAGAATAATATGCATTGAAGCTGCTTTTAATTACAGTCCTCAATGCAAACAGAAGTTTGCAACAGCAAGACAAGAGAGTGGGCATGCTAACATATTAAAACTTATGCTCACTAAACAAATTATGATCTTAACTCTGTAGTGCATGAGATTTATTTAACATGGATATTTTAGAAGTATGTCTCCACCCCACGGGGTTTTTGTATCCAGACAGACATTGGAGCTGGAGCCCTTTAAGGCCTCAATTCAACGAAGTACTTTCAGCACCTTCTTAATGGGCACTGTATAGTCCCATTGGAAGTCAATGGAACTATTTGAATGCTTAAGTGCTGAATAAGGATCACATTACCCACATGCTTACACTTCGTTCTTGCCTACAATACAAAGTTTTGTCGGCAAAAGTTATGCCGCTTTAATTAAAGCGCTTTAAATAAAACCGCTGTTGCATGTCCACACTAACTCCTTATGTCGGCAGAGCACATCCACACTAACAGCTCTTACATCAACAGAGAGCAGTGCACAGTGGGTAGCTATCCCACAGTGCAATTGGCTGCAGGGTGTTTTGGGAAGGGTCTGCAATGACTCATGGGGCAGGTACAGCATCACATGATGCATGTTTCTCAATCCCATCCTTCCAGTGGCATCCTAGTAGATTGTTAGCCGCTTTTTCAACTGAAGTGCGTGGGGGGAGGGAGAGGAGAGTGGTGTGTCTGGGGCAGGGGAGACAGCAGGCTGACCGACCTATCCTAAGGCATGGGGGGGGGGGGGAGGGGAGAAGAGAGAAACACCTCTTCCACGTCAGCCCTTGGCTCTGCTCAGCACAGTACTCTCTCCCGAAGCAGCCCACTCTGCCTGCCTGCAGTTCTGTGATTCCCTCCGAGTTCTCCCACAGCCTCCGCAGCTGCTGGGAGCAGCATCCTGAGCAGCTCTGTGAGCTCTACATGCTGAGGAATGTCAAAGCAGCACAGCAGTCCCTTTTCCCCAACCTCACCCCCCCTTCCCCCCAGCAGCAGTCTGCCTGCCACGGTGTTCCTAGTGCAGAGCAGACAGGAGCATTCCACGTTAATGATTTGCTCTTTGTTCCCCAAAGGGAGCAGCCCGCTCAGCTGTCAGATACTTCCCCAGAGCTTTGAAAGGGGAGGGGCACATGCCTGCAGGGCAGCAGAGATCAAAACAGTGAGCAGAGCAGTCAGGGCAGGCATTGTGATATAATGGTGGAAGCCAGTTATGTGGACAAAACAAACAGCAGTGTCTACTCTGTCGCTTTAACTCTGCCGCAAAAAGCTTTAGTCCTCTTGTTAAGGTGGTTTTGTTTTGCCACCAAAAGTAGCTTTTTAGTGTGTATGCCCTCCCGTTTTGTCAGCAAAAGGCAGCTTTTGCCAAAACAAAAACAAAAACAAAAACAAAAACTTTGCAGTGTAGACAAGGCCTCAAACAAATACTTGTGTGCTCTGCTGAATTAAAGCCTAAGAATGGGGCTTTGTGGGCGAAGATCAGGGAGACTTGTGAAGTTGCTATGTTCCATTAATCACCCGGCAGGGCTAAGCAAAGAGCTTGTTTCTGATCCAGTCTCCAGACTTACTAGTAATAGAACAGCTTTATTCAAGGGTTAGCAGTTTTTAGAATATGTACAGCCTAGAGTTCAAATATTTGTCTCTTGATTACTGGCTGTGCAACTATGCATCCTTAATGACTGGTAGTGAAGTTATTCCTGTTATTTATAAACGAAGTTTTTGTTGATTCTGTTCACAATTGTTTAAAAGTAATCGTTGATTACCTCAAGTGATTTACGAGCACTCTGCAAAAGAGTCAAGCAGTACTTAATCCAACATCTTGCAATTTCAGCTTTTCTCTGTCGAAGATCCTGTTGGTCTTGTTCTGTTTCATCTGAGAAATACACATATCAAATAAAAGCAGGGGAGAAGTGAAGTATTCCAGCTCAAATGTTACATTAAATGAAAGAACGATCATTTACGTTGATCAGGATATTTTTCTGTCTTTCCCTTATAGTTTTAAGAGTGCAAAGGTTGTAATCCCTAACCCTAGCAGACTCAGAAGATGGATTACTGTGGCTCTATCAAGTATTGCCTTTAAAAAACAGTTTAGATATGTAACAGGAAGACCACCTGGTCTTGGAGTTTTTCCAGAGTATAACAAACAGATTTGTTTTCTGTTCTAAAGTGAGAGCCCATCTGCCCTTCAAAAACAACTGTAACAGCAAAGCTGCTCTCTAGAATGATTAACACACTGTTTGCTCTTGCAACAGCCCTAAGAATTATAGTGAAATAGAGAGTGTCAAATTGAGGAAGTAGAGTCCGTGGCCAATCAAAAGTATAGGAACAGGAAGACTTGCTAGCCCACAAACTCTTACGCTCTCCTCCTCTCCCCAAGTTCCCCACCACAGTCACAATTTGCAACACTGTTGACGTCTCAACACAGGCACCAAAGATTGAACGGACGTTAAAACTGAACTATCCAATCACCTCTAGGGGAAGTGGAGACAAATTAGTGGGCCAGTGTGGGGAAGCTTCAACTGCTGACACCGCCATTCTTGTTCTCTGGATACAAAGGATGCTTCAGTCTCCAGTGCTGTTAAATTGGTACCTTTCACAGGCACTACATTCACTTTTTTTTTTTTTGGGGGGGGGGGGGGGGGGGGGAGGGGGGTAGGGACGGGCACGGCAGGAAAGAGTTGGAGAAGGAGAATTCTCAATAGCCTCAAAGTGACCTCCATTTGTTCATTAGTTTAAGAATCCCTGCACTGTACACAGCGGATGGTTTTGGCTTTGTTTTACTAACAACAGAATTTAGATATGTTCCATTCACATGCTTGCGGGTGTCTGTTCTTTAAGCAGGTGTTCTTATTAGCAAGTACTAAGGTGAAGTAACTCTAGACCTTTACTGACCAATCCAGCCTTTTCTCCTTTAAAAGAGATTTGATGAATTACAGCTATTTCATATGCAGAAGTGTGACACATCACTGACTGATAAAGCTCCTACCTTGAAAATCTGAGTGAGTGGAACTTATTCCCATGTTTTAGATCCCAGAATTTTCCATATGATGATTTTCATAGTACAGTGGCTCAGGATATAAAACTTAAGAGGAAGGGAGGAGAAAAAAAAGAAAAAAAAAAAAAACCAGAAGCAATTCCCAGCATGCTGTAATAAATATCACTTTGCACTTATATAGCATCTTCCATCCAATGATCTCAAGTCATTAGTCTCCTCATCTATGTGACAGAAGTATCATTATTCCTATTTAACAGATGAGAAACTGAGGCACAGGGAGGTTAAGCAATTTGCCCAAAGTCACACAGGAAGATTTTGGCAGAGTTGGAAAGAGGACCCTTGTCTCTAAACTCTCAGTCCTGTACTGGATGTAGAGACCATCACTAACCATATACTTCTCTGTTATGATGTAATCGTGTTTATTACAGTAGTGACTAAGGGACAGCCAAGAAAAGGGCCCCCACTGTGCTCGGTTCTGTACAGAGTAGACAACGACCCTTGCCCTGAAGAGCATACTATCTAAATAAACAAGACAGACATAGGGTGGACTCCTCGTTTTTTTAGGGTGGAGGAAAGGGTCTGACACACAAGCAAAGTGAACAGCATGATGGCAGCAAACATCATGTTAGTTCCACCATTATATATATATTTTTTTGAGGGGGAAGGTTTAGTTTGGAGGAGATAAGCAAGAAGGGAAGGGGGAAAAGAAGGTAAGATGTCAAGTGTGGAATGAAGCTCAGGTGAAGAGACTGAGGGTGGGAGTGAGAGTCAATCAGCACAGAGCAGAGGAAGTCCAGTCACAACTGTAGAGTTCTCAATGTCCAAAGATTCCTTCTTTGGTTCCTACCAGATGGAGTCTCCTCTCTGCAACCCACAGGACAGTAGGAGAGATGCAGGCCCCACAGCTGTGAACATGTGGCCTCCCCTGCACAGTTCTGGGTACTGCAAGATTCTGGGAGGGAAAGGTGGCTCTGGCTGGGTCCCATTTTACCCCTCCCCGCCACAGTGCAGCAGTTCCAGCTTTGGCTGCTTCTACTCCTACCAGCTAGAGTCTCTGGGTGGCTTTCTTGGTGAAAGCATACCACATTTCTGACCCCAATGTCCCCTAGTCATCCAGACAGTAACAGTCAAGTGACCATGGCAATCTAGATGCGTGAATTCACAGCTGTCAAATATTTCATATTTATTCCAAGACGTCTTGACAGACCTCTACAATTAGTACAACCCAATATTTTGTAAAGTCTTAGGTTTCCTTATCTAAAATGGCTCTTGCACAGCCTGCCTCCTAAAAATGTAGCTAAATTGGCTAGATGAGATATAATGGGTGACTCTATATAGGTTTTTGTCCATTTTCAAGTTTCCAAAAAATGTCGTAAGTGATGACATTTATACATTGTGCAACCCAGCTGACTGAACTCTGGTTAAAGGAAGTTTGGCAGTGTTCCCTTCAGCTGCATTTTACCCTTGAATAACAATGCCAATTGGATTTAAGGGGACAACATTCCAATTAGCATGAACCCTTTAAAACTAGCTAACATTCGCTGCAGCAACGGCAGGCTAGGGGAATCCAAAAAATGCAGCCCTTTTGAATGCTAGCACAATCTGCCATGAGTCTAAAGCCTCATTTATCTGAAGCTTTCAGTTGTCCAAGACTTTGAAATGCCCAGGGCTGTGCTGCAGATGTGGAAACCAAAGCTTACTGTTTTACAGGAAGTAATGGGAGAGGTAGGATGTTTCAAGTAGCACAGCTATAGTCATAGGACCATGACCCCTCAGAAGTATGGCTGTCTCTTTAGGAGGGTACGTTCTTTTCCACTTGATTTTGTTAATTTAAGAGTTATTTCATTACACCAATACGAAGTTAGTCAAGGATGATGACAACTTCATAAGTACCATTTAATGAGATTGCATCACGTCAAGTGACAAATTGTAGGGTGTTTTACATGGAACTGCTTTTATGCTGAAGTCTTCATTTTAAGCCTATTCTTAGGAAATGTCTTCTCGCATAAGATTCGTTTAACAGTTTTCATTTAGGGATTGCTCTAAACAGATTATACACTGTATTGTAAATGTGAGAGCCAGAATTTAATTAAAAAAAAATTAAGGGTGAGAAATATCCCCCCATACTCCTGAAAACATCTGGGTGGAGCTGTTCAAATTTTAGACCTGCCCCAATGTTTTTCCCCATCCTCCTGGCAACTTCTAACATCTGTCAATTTTACAAAACACAACCCACTAAAGTATCACCTGACTCTGGTGAAATTCCTGAATAAGCAGCAATAAGTATCTGAGCTTTTCTCAAGGTATTTACATGTACCAAATCTTAAGAACTGTTGTGCGTACAACTTAAAATCTTGGTTTAATAGTAGTACTGGTATAAGGAAAGATAATTAATTCTCTTAAAAGGAACTGGAACTACTATTAGAGCTCCCAACTGAGGAGCACAAGAGCATTTAACATCCATACTAACAATGCTTATTTCAAAGCTACTTGATTGAAGCTAACTACCATTAAAACAAAAACACAAAGCTTACTGTCCTCTGAAGAAGGAACCTGTCCAGCTTGGCTAAAGATGACATTGGCAGCTGCTAAACAGTGTCGAGACTCCATAAAGCATTGCTGTGGGGGAGAGAAAGAGCAGTGTTCCATCATAGGTACAAAACAGCCAATGAGCTGCTACTTTAGACTTAACTAAGTCCCTCAATTTGTATAGTTAGGACATGTGAAGATGGGGAAATTGCAGAATTGAGAGATCCAGGGGCATTTTCCTTTGGACACTAGAAAATATAGGTGTAATACGGTGCAATTTGAAAGGAAAGATGATTTTTTACATCTACTATGGAATATAGCACCTTCCCACCAAGTATCTCTGCTTCCACATATCCCATCTCAACCAACAACCCCCACAGAGATAGTCACTGCCTTTTATAGCAGGACCAAAGCACGAACATTATAAATTCTTTCCATGCTGCTCTGACTTATGCTACTGTCACTTCCTGAGGTGTGTGGTAAACACTGTGTTGTGGGGCATAACACAGCCCTGAGCTGAACATAAACTGAGTATACACTATGAGTCAGATTCTGATTCCCTTACTCTCACATTGAGTAGTACTTTACTTCATGGTTAATTCCTTCAATTTATCTCCTCAAAAGGTACAGGAGTGAAAAGTTACTGCTGAAACTCTATCCTTAACTAAGTGGTATTGCAGAAGTCTCCAAAGCACCAAACTGTTTTACAGAACACAAGAGAATTTGAGTTGTCTTGAGTATGAAAGGTCTCAAAAACAGAAGTACGTCACAAAGCAGTGAGTTGTTTAGTGACAGTGCAGAGACTTTGGAGGCAAACACAACATCCATTATATGATTAATTCTAGTGCTCTCACAACCTTCAACAAATTTTGTGCACATGCTAAAATATCCAAGAACAATTACTTAAAGTGTGCAGTGTAAGACTCAAACCTGAATTTTTTGCTTTGGCTAGATAAGAACTAAGTACTAGTAGTAGGTAGTTTAAAAATAATTATTTTCCCTTATGTTTCACCTTAAAAAAAAAAAAAACCCTCATAAGCACATCACAAACCATCATTATTATGAATTATTTGTACTACCGGGCCCACTTGTGCTTTAGTTCTTAAGTTTATCCCCTGCTCACTTTTGGCAACATGCTACCATAGGAAGTGGAACCACTGCACTCCCTTAAGACAGATGTTTGACATCTGAGGACTATGTGTGTGTTTAAAGGAGGGCATTTTAAAATCCAGTAGGTCCCATATCTCGATGAGCTACTGGAACGGCAACTCTGACTTTGTAGTTACTTTTTATGATTGCAGATTAATAAGTCATAACAATAGCAGAGAACATTTAAATGGTTACCTTAGTGAGATAATATTGTGACAAGGTAGCAGCATTCAGAGCCCATTCTACTGGATAGTAGCCGCTGTACTCAAGCTGTCGTTTAAGGGTGGTATGGCAATACTGGGCAGCCTTTTCAATCATTTCCAGGTGTTGGTAGACTTGAGCCAGATAATACAATGTATGGGTATAGGCCTTTTCAAATCTGGGAAGACAATTTGGGTCTTACTTTAGATTTATTTTTAAAAACAGCCATCACACACTCGTTTCAAATGTATGCTCTAGTCAGCACCCACCTTTTTGATCTTTCTTGATCTGTAAGTTTTTCTTCTTCAGCCATGAAGTGTTCGTTGGGATCAAGAGGAGGGTTCCCATTCTGAAAAAGAATAAGCAGTATATCCAATACACAAACTATAATTTATTTGGTGATATTGTGCTCCCTCTGCTGGCTGCAGTGTGAAACACACAATGTAAGACCATAAAGACTGGTGAGCATTTGCAGTTTTTCAATCCCAAATTCAACGCTAGACTGTTGATTTTCCACAGAACTTCTGAATGTTGCATTTAATGTGATTTCCTGAAGTCCATGAGATGTTTTTAGAAAAAAGGCAAACAGTATGCCTCACTTTTTCTACTGTGTTATAAAACTGCTTTTCTCATATACAACTACAGTGTATTTTTTAGAATATTACATTGCGACAAACTAATTTACTCTGGATTCATATTGATCTCATGAGAAGTTATTAAATATGTCTACAAATATCAAATAAAGAATTCATTTACCAAGATACACTACCAGCACACACACAAGTATCCTTCACAATATTTCCTGCAGTATAGGCATAGAAAATGCCTAGCAGACCCTATCGTGAGGTCTGATCCTGTTAGCATTTACACATGTGAGTAGCTTTAATCAGGAGCAGTCACACAGAAGTCAATGAACTACTTTGTGAGAGCAATGTCACTCATGTGTGAAAGCATAACATTGTCCCTAGAGAGATTACGGGTTCACTCCCCATGAACAATCTCAGGCCAGTCCACACACTGTTTTTGAAATGGTAAAACTATTTTGGCTAGGAATTATTTTTTTTAAATCAAAATAGTTATACTGGTACAAGTCATGGTGTGGATATAAGGGTGCCTTATTCCAATATATCTTGTTCCCCTTCCCATATGGGAAAATCTGTACTGGTCTAAAGCACCTTTATGCTGATATTGTGTCCATACTAGAGGAGGGTGTATCACTTTATATTATACCAGTATACTTAAAGCACTACAGCATTTGTGTTTAGACAAGCCTTAGAAGCATGAGTCTCTACTGCTTAAACTACAGCACATCAGCCCGTTAACATGGGAGGCAACAGACTCAAAAATCTCTGTATGTGGTCTAGCCACTAGAAGGGAATAAAGAACACACTCCCCAGGGGCCAGGAAAGCTTGAGATCCACAGCATATCAAATCCCCATATGGCATGCCATTTCTAACAAGGTGCAGTTCACAGCATTTGCTATTTCAGGTCCCTACTGTCATCTATACAAGGACAAGAAAGAGGCAAAGAGTGAAAGGATACCACACAAATCTAGCTGCATGACCACAGGTAAAGTGCAATTCATTTTAAAGAAAAGCTCCATTGATGTATCAATTTCAGTTTATTAGGTTCAACAGAGAACAACAAAACATTCATTCCAAAGAGACACCATGCTTCCTGAAGAGACTGAACCAAAGAGGAAAGCATCTCTCTTCCACCAGTTTTCAAAGGGGGAAGTCATAGCTTTGAGTACTGATTTAGATGGATTTAAAGATATATTTAGGATGTGTGGGAAGTAAATGTAGTTTTGTTCTACATTAACTAGTTTTTGTTCACTCTCTTTATGGAGATGATTTCTGGGGTTTATACAATGGTCCTGTATACAGCATCTTACCATTGTGTCCGTTCCACCTTGCTGTAAGACAGCTGTCAGACACAGTTATAGCTAGCACGATTGGGCCATACCATGCCAACACAGTTTATGGCACAACTTTGTCTGTCTGCACCTAACTTGCTTCATAGCTATGTATGTGCCTGCTTTTTATGAAAATTCTGTACACCTACCCAATAGTACCTCAACTGCTGGTGGCACAGGCTGAGGACTGTAGATATTTTTCCAAGATGGCTTCCTCATATCACTTACCATTCTGGAAGTTTTTAAGCATGCCAATATATTAGCTAGTCACGTGTTACATGACATTATGAGCATTTTCAACACTGAGGGTACGTCTACACTACCCACCGGATCGGCGGGTAGTGATCAATCTATCGGGGATCGATTTATCATGTCTCGTCTAGATGCAATAAATTGATCCCCGAACACGCTCCCCGTCAACTCTGGAACTCCAACACTGCGAGAGGCGGAAGTGGAGTCGACGGGGGAACGGCGGCCATCGATCCTGCACCGCGAGGTCGCGAAGTCGATCTAAGATACGCAACTTCAGCTACGAGAATAGCGTAGCTGAAGTCGACATATCTTAGATCGATCCCCCCCCAGCGTAGACCAGGCCTGAGATCAGTTTAGCAGTGCAACTTGCTGTACTAGTGTACATAGTAGTTTACAAGCTTATTGCTTGATCACTTCAAAAATGAACAGCAGATAAATGTTCCTGTAATAACAGTACTTAGCTCTACATGGATTTTTCATCCATCTCTCTCAAGGGAGGATAAATATCACTACCCTCCTGTTACAGGTGCGGAAACTGAGACACAAAGAGGCAAAACAACTTACCTAAGGTCTCCACAGCTCAGTGGAAGAGCTGGAACTAGAATCCAAATCTCCAGATGCAAAGCTCAGTACCTTATTTGTTGGGCCACATGGTCTCTGCCAAGCTAAGAGAATAATGTCAAGAGGCAGGAACTTCTGTAACAGGCTTTATTTGTCTACATTCTCAAGACGTCCCATGAGGCAGAGGGAATCTGGATCAAGCTCATGATATTAACATAGAACAGGATTGACACATTCAAGTAATTCTGTTCTTTACACTTAGAATAAAACTGAAGACGTGGCCAGAATGGAACTCTCTCTGTGGCAATCCACCTACCTCCCTCTGCCTCCTGGACAGAGACTGCAGAGAAAGATGGAGCAGCTCAGAGAAACATTCTTCATGAGAAGTGGGGTAGGGGCTGGGAGAAGGCGTAATATAGCTACCCTTTCCCCCCACAAATTGGGGGGGGGGGGATGGCACAGCGCAATAGGCTTGTGCCTTTGCTTGCTTCTTTATTAAAACAACCCTGAAAGGTGTGTGTACACACTTATATACTGCTGGTCTTTAATTCAGGTTCTGTCTAGCCTGGAAAAAGGATGGTGATTGAAGAACTAATGAAGTGATGACATCACAAGACTGCAAAAGCTAAATAACCCAGGGAGGAAAGGATTTTTAGAGTCAATTTGTTTCATCAATGCTTTTTTTTGGTTACGCTTGTTTAGGATCAATAACTAACTTTTTTAAATAAAAATTATTTATTAAAGATTCCCACCAGTTCAACTGAGGTGCAAGAGCTCATAATACATTCCCTCAGAGACTCCCAACAAGTTCTTCAGCAAACTCCAGGAGATCAGAGGTGACATTTCTGAAGTTTAAAAAGTTACAGGACTATCTGCACTGGCTCTTTCCGGTCTCTGAGTGCTCCCTTCAGATCTCAGGCCTCATACCTTTACCTATGCTGGATGGAGTTCCAGGATTCTCCCACTCTTAGACCAGGCCCCAGTACCCTTTGAATCAACCGTGGTAAGCGAGCAGGTCCAACTGGTCTCAGCACCTGTGGTTCTTCTCTTTGGGAGTCTGATCAGTGATGTAAATAGCAACCAAAGCATTGTTTATTTTGCTGTAGGAACAAAGCATTTTAAGACAGATGTGTGTAGAGTGTTTGTTATCTTACTTAAAAAGCCCTACCATCCTGTGATGGTGACCTAGGCAGGCCTAGCTTCTTCAGACATCCCAGCAGGGTTCCCATGTCTCTGTCTCACTCCTCTGAATAATTATTTTTAATCCTGCCAGGTCTCCTTTGTTCTTGTGAGTTCCTGGGCTTTTTGCCTTATTGGCCAGAACTAGTTAAGCTGTCTGAAGCCAGGATACAGAATCTTAAAACTCCAATTCTGTCACAAGAAACTTGAAAGCTTTCAAACCTTTTTTACACCTCATAAAGCAGCAAAAAGTGAATAAACTTGATTTTAAAAGTTCTTTGTACGTTATTTTTAATATTCAAATCTCAGATCCTACCAATCAGGCAGTAAATCCACAACTGCACAGACCTTCTCAAAATTTAAATGCATGTTAAAACTAATCCCACAAAACAATCTTCCCAAACTGACTATTATTCCAGCTTTCCATCTCAATTCAGTCTTTTCAGAGAAACATTGGAAGAGCTCCATGGAGTTAAAAGAAGAACAAAACGGTAATCCAGTTTCTAACATCAGAGATAGAACCAACCTCTGCTTCAGGATCATGCTTATGGTCAAAACCTTGAATTACTCCTGGGGGAATTCTGCACCACTGCGCATGGGGTCCAGACCTTCCATACCCAGATACTCCTGCCGAGCCTCACCCCATACACCCAGAACCCCTCCAGCACTCCATACCTCAACCCCTTCATTTGGAGCCCCCCGAACCCAGACCCCCTGCCTCCAGACCCCCATCCCTGCACCCTAGACCACCCCCCACTGAGCTCACTACATCCCCGCACCTGAAACCCCACCCCCAAGCCTGTGCATGCAGATCCCCCCACACCTAGACCTCCCACTGAGTTGCGGGCACCCAGATTGTCCCACACAGAACCCTCTCACCACACATCTGGATGCCCCCATACTGAGCCCCTTCACACTTGGATCCTGCCTGGCTGAGCCTTCCTGCCCCACACCTGGTGTGCCTAGCACAGAGGAGCAGGGCCCCAGGGTGTTTCTGGGACAGGCCCAGGCCTTGTGCTGTGTCAGGGTCGGGTGCAGCCTCACCGCTGAATCCGTGTCCCAGGGGTGGGGAGGCTGCAGAGTGATCTCCCACCAGCCAATGGTCTGTGCTCCCTATTGCACTGCTGGAGCCTCCACATTTATTTATTGACAAATAAAACATGCAGAATTTTAAACAATTGTGTGCAGAATTTAATTTTTTGGTGCAGAATGCCCTCAGGAGTATTGAATACAGGTTGTCATGTACACAGCATCAATGCCAGAAATGAGTGTCCGGTATTAACTAGGAGACATTTTGTAAAAGTTCAGTCCTCACAAAGACAGAGAGGTCAAAAATGTGTAAATACCAAACTGTAATTGGAGGGATTTCCCCACCTACCAGTGCATTGAATTGCAGTGTACTATGGTTTTCTTCAAAGTCACAAAAGGTGAATTATTAATGCAGAAAGCGGTCTTTGAGGCAATCACAATGTATAAATAGCTCTGCCAAGAGCATAACAAAAGCCCTGTTGTGCCACTGCTATCACACAGCAGAGTCAACAACTCAGGCCTTGTCTACACTGCCACTTTACAGCGCGGCAACTTTTTCAGTCAGGGGTGTGAAAAAACACACCCCAGAGCGCTGCAAGTTTCAGCGCTGTAACGTGGCAGCGTGGACAGTGTTCCCAGTGCTGGTAGCTACTCCCCTCGTGTAGGTGGGTTTTTTTAATAGTGCTGGGAGAGCTCTCTCCCAGTGCTGGTGCCATGACTACACAGCCACATTAAAGCACTGTCACGGCAGCGCTTTAACAGTGAAGACATGCCCTTAGATTGTTTAATATGCATAAGGAGTTTGGTCATTAACAAGACTGCCTGAGACACACAAGAACCTTTCTGAAAGAAAGCTAAATGCATGCAGCACTATAAATTGTCACAGCAAATCGATGCAGACAGTTCAGGAGTATTTAAGATTAACCCTTTTCCTTGTTAACTAAAAGAAATGGTTTGAAGTCTCTCATGGCTCTGCAGTACTATCAGTATGAAGTTAAGTAGAGTTAGTGGAAGCTAGATTCCAGCTGGTTTTAATTCTGGCTAAAAAACTTCCAGCATTGATTATTTTACTTATTTTAGTATTTAAGCAGAGTTCATTTGCTGATTATTAAACCAGCATTGAAACTATCATGAATCACAGATCTCAGTTCCTCGTAGTGCTAGCAACACACATTATGTCACTTTTCAGAAGCACAGTAGCTGCCAGCAGGAAGCTCAGAAATTCATGCTTCACGAAGATGTTTTTCAGAAAAAAATATTCACTATGTATACTTAACAAGAAATGCCTCTGCATGTGAAGGCTTAAAAATGATGTTCTTCTGCCAGATGCAGTCTTCAGGAAAATGGCCATCTTTTATCGTCTACAGCACTCAGCATAATCCCCAGTGCTGACTAGCATCTCTAGGTGCTGCCATAACACAAATAAATAATAGTGCAGTGCATGTGTAAAATAAGCTGTTAACAGTACCTCTTTCATGTACTGATTATACAACGCCTCTGCAGATTCCAAGTAAGTCTGTGCTGTTTTAATTTCACCTCTTTCAGACCACAGGATACCCAAATTGTTCTATAAATGTAAAAGGAAGAAAGGGGAAAAAGGGAAAAAGAAAAAAAAAGAAGTTATTTTCCAGTATTTCCCATTCTCAACAACAAAGTTCTCTAAACACAACCAAATTCCACCACAACACACACAGCCTATTTGAGTCAATGGGAGTTACTGCCTTTGGAGAAAAAGGATTGTACTTGGCCCATAGTTCTTACCTTGAGTTGTTTAAAGATGCCTTATCACACTATAGCAAACATGAAAATAAAGACCCAAACATATAAAAACATGTAATTTTCAGGTGTATGTTTAAACAGATACTCTCTCTCTCTCTCTCATAGTTCTGTTTCTGATTCACCCTGCAATTAAGTCATAGCATCAGTGTGGTCATAAAAATGACCAGGAAGTTAGAAATTCAGTATTATGACTTCAAGGCTGGATAAAATAGGATGAGAAGTTGAGCTAGGAAAGAGCAGATGATGTTTAAATAAGCATCTTCATTGATAGGCAAAGGTGGCAAGAAAAGTTAAGAAGTAGAAGTTAAGGGATGGGTATTTTAGACCTAAAACACAATTCACATGGCAACATTTCTTACATTGCTTCTGGAGGCTCTCCAATTTCAAAGAGCTTCTCCAAGTGTATCATTAAGAATATAGCATTCATAAACATTCCAAGTTGGACACACACTAATTTAGTTTCTATATTTGCTCATTTGAAAAGGCAAGTCTTAATATATAACTAAAGAGGGGTAAAAGTGGAATTCTATCAAGTTGCCTCTGCAGCTGGCCCACTCAAATTAGCCTTCTTTTAGGAGCATCAGACTGTGTGGTGCTCATGAAGAGAAACACTAAGTCCATGGGACTGGATGTACAGTGTAACAGGCAAAATCAGACAGCAATCATCTCGTACGGCCCTATGCAGAAGGGCACAAATCAGAGACAGGGCCATAGGAATTGACTTGATAAAAGGAACTCTGTACCAGTGCTTCCACAATAGAGGTCAGTACAAAGAAAGCATATAAAGCACTTAAAAAAAAAGCCAATTCTGTAGATTATTGCTTGTACTGCAGTATTTACGTTGTCTTCCTTTAAATGTCCAAGGTTTGTTACAGCCTGTGAGATTGTGTTAGACACCACGATTTCTAGTTGTGTTATTTTGCATACATTGTCCAATGCTAGGAACAAGAGCATCATCTGGCAACAGAACTTCTAATAGCATTGGAAACAGCTCTGGATATAGCAAAAAAGAGAGGTCTGAAACAGCAGGAAAAAAGACAGTGTATCCAGAAGATAGCACCTGTCTGTTACAAACAAGCAACATTTACAAAAGTCAAGTCAGAAGCAGAGCTGAATCCTTGGCCTAAGGCAATAAAAATTAAAAAACTCTGGCATGATGTAAACTTGTGTAGTTGTGACCCTTTTAGTTACTGGTGGGACACTAACCCATTTTGAATGGTTTCTGAATAAGCCTGTAACTTTTAAATGACAGGTTTATAGTGTTGAGTATGACCCCAAGTTGTCACACTGGAAGACAGTGACCACACGCAAATGCAACCTTGAAAATTTCAGGTAACCCACTTGACTACAAGTAGTCATTTTTTCTGACTGGTATGTAGTCTCTCTCCATTATCCCCTATTACGGGGTGCCCAACCTGTGGCTCCAGAGCCGCATGCGGCTCTTCAGAGGTTAATATGCAGCTCCTTACCTAGGCACTGATTCCAGGGCTGGAGCTATAGATGCTAACTTTCCAATGTGCTGGAGGTGCTCACTGCTCAACCCCCTGCTCTGCCCCCATTCCACAAGAGTTTTTTTGGTTTTTTTTTTTAAGGTCAGGCTTGACAAAGCCCTGGCTGGGATTAGTCCTGCTTTGAGCAGGGGGTTGGACTAGATGATCTCCTGAGGTCCCTTCCAACCCTGATATTCTATGAATCCATTCCTTCCCCCAACACCCCTGCCTTGCCGTGCCCTCGCTCCTTGCCCCTCCCCCACATAGCCTCCTGCTCACATGAAACAGCTGATGGGGGGGAGGTCTGCCAGCAGGCAGGAAGCACTAGGGAGTGGATGGGGGGCAGCTGATGTATTTCTTTGGCAATGTACATTGGTAAATTTGGCTCCTTCTCAGGCTGGCCACCCCTGCCCTATTATAATAATACTGCAAGGCTTCACAAGGAGACAGTTATTATTAGGTTGTCTGTTATGGTTAGATCAGCTAACTGTTGTAAGGACATCTGAACAGTCGTTATGTTTAAGACATCTTCTTTTAAGACTGCTTCTTTTAGGCGATGTAAAAATTGAGTAAAGACTGGAACATCTCTGAGAACGTACATGTATTTGGTAACTATTCTGAAGGGAATATACAGAGGAGAATGAAATTATTGTAAGGAAATTAACAGTATTTGCAAAACTCTACTCACTCGGGTAGGGTAATATACCTAAGGTATTATATTACCCTAACGTTAAAGAGCAGGCAAACAGATTAACTGCAACAATAAATTCTCATCACAATTTTGCAATGCAACTTTATATTTTCAAAGCACTGTTTAAATATTAACTAGCATAGCCCTAAGATTGCAGCATTTCAATAGCTCATATCGCCACTTACACTGTTAATCCTAAGCATCACAAATAAAACGGGCCCAGATCTGGAAAGGTTTATATGCTACGCTGCCTAAGGTCAGGAACACCTCAACTGTGCAAATGGGGTATCTACGCAAACCTACTTCAAGTCCCAAATAGTACGATGCTCCATATCGATTGGAGACTCCCCCCATCCAGAATCACACTCCGACCACCCGGAGTCTAGAGCGAGTCCGCCCCCCGCTGCCCAGAGGTGCTGGCCGCCGTCCACGGCGAGACAAGTCACCACAGTGGGACCCAGAGGGCAACTCAGTCAAACCCTCGCCCGCCAGGAGAATCAAGCCAGGGCCTGCCATCCGCCTACGGGCGCCCACTCGCCTCGAGCCGCGGCAGAAGCTCATCGGCACGGCCCGTCCCGGGGCGCCCAGGGCTGCGGCCGCTCCCTACCTGGGCCTGGATGTAGAGGGAGACGCAGTCCCGGGAGAGGCGGTGGCGCTCCAGCAGCCGGGTGCACTTCAGCAGGTGCTCCTCGCCGGCAGAGAGCTCCTCGGTCTCGGTGTGATTCACCCCCAGCTCGTACTCCACCACGGCCAGCCGCACGGCCCGCAGCGCCGCCGCCTCCCCCGCGGGGGCGCCCTCGGCCTCGGCCGCCTCCTCCGAGCCCAGCAGCTGCCGGATCTCCTCCAGCAGCTCCCGGGCGCCGTACTTGGAGCGGTAGGGCTCGTTCTCCGGGTCCTTCTTGGACTCCACGTTGGAGAGACTCAGCGAGCTGCGGAACTTCTCACAGAGCGAGGCCCAGCCGGCGGGCGCTGCCATCTTCCTCGCCGGGCCCAACGCCACCCGCAACTGCGACCCGCCGCCGGCTCGGCTCGGCGTTTTACAGCGGACACGTGACACTCAGCGAGCAATCAGGACGCTAGGGGCGTCTGCCCTCTACTGTCATGACGCCCGACCCTACCGTTCGGCTCGTACCACGCCCCACCCTCAGTACAGGCGGCGCGCTTTCGCCGAGCGCCCGCGCCTCGTTCTCAGAGCCGCAGGGCGCTCAGTGCCCAACCTGTGCCCGCCTCAGGGGCAGCCTAGCACAGGGCCAGGGACACGTGAATAAACAGATGCCAAATATGCCTGGATCGTCACATTACCACAGCCCCAGCTCTGCGCAAAACACGCCCATGAAGTGCTCCGGGGCACTGGCTCTTAACCTTCCCAGACTTCGCTAGGCCTCTTAGGAATCGGATTCGTCTTGTGTACCTGAAGTTTTACCTCACTTAAAAACTACTTGCTTACAAGCTCACACAAAAATAAAAACGTGTCACAAATACCCTATTAGTAAAAAAAAAGTGCTTAATTTCTTCTTTTTACATATAATTTTAAAACCAATCAATTGGAATATATATTTACAATTACATTTCAGCATACAGTATAGCACAGTACAAACAACTGGTGTGAAATTTTTAGTTTGTTTTGACTTTGTTAGTGCTGTGCTGTTTATGTAACCTGTTGTAAAACTAGGCAAATATCTAGATGAGTTGATTTACTCCCATACCCCTGGTTGAGAACCACTGCTCTGGGGGAAGGCAGCTGCAGCACCTGCAGGAACACAGGATGTCTGTCAGGTGCCATCATCCCAGGAATGAATTGCTAACGATTTCCCAGTACTGAGCATCTTCCTTTGCTAGTTGTAAGTTTCACAGAACTAGAAGAGAAGAAGTGCCCATTAACACTGCCTCCCTATTATTTCTCTCTTAAACCCCAAAGGGCCCATGGGGAAATGCAAGAGCGCAGTCTATTTAAATAATTTTGTTCTGGGGTTCTTAGATCTGGTAATGACATCCTATTGTTCAACAAGATAAATATTTTTCTTTTTTAATACATTTTTTCTTTATTCTTTGACCTCAAGAAACAATCAGAAAAATGTCAGAGTAGGCCCAAGCAGCTCTCATTGCAAATTGCACACTTGAACAACATAAAATGAGAAATCTGGAGAATTTAGATTTTATTTTTAATGAGCAAGAGAAATATTTAAAGGTATGTTTAATGTCTAGATTTCAATTATATATCATAAGAAACAAAGAAGTTACTCACTTTCTGCAGTAACAATGGTTCTTTGAGATGTGTGTCCCCACTGGATCCTTCCACAATAAAAAGGAAAATCTTGGGAGACTTCCTAAAAGCCTTCGTCCTATCCAGGTAAAAGGCCAGGACTCTCCTAACATATAATGTCTCTAGTATAGCCTCCCTTTTATCACAGTGAGGCTTAGGGTAAAAAGTTGGAAGGTGGATCAGTTGGTTCATGTGAAAAGGGGAGGTCACCTTGGGGGTAAACTTCAGCTGCAGTTTGTGTGTGACCTTGCCCCAAAAGAATACTGTGTAGAGGGGATGCGTGCCATCAGAGCTGCTATTTCCCCTATTCTCCTAGCCAAGGTGATCGCCACCAGGAAGGCAGTTTTCATTTACAGGTATGTAAACCATGGGTTTGAAGGGAGGTCTAGTCAGGTTTTTCAACACTAGGTTTAGATCCCATCTAGGGGTGGGATGTCAGGGTTGTAGGAAAAGGTTTACTATACCTTGAGGAATCATTTTGTGGTTAGATGTGATAGCACTGAGTATCCCTCTACATGTCGATAGAAGGCTCCGATAGCCACTAGGTGGACCTTGAGTGAACTGAGAGATAGTCCCGATTTTTTAAGAGTCAGTACACAGTCTAGGATCTTTGGAAGAGTAGTGAGTGGCGGAGAAATTTGTTGGGAATTACACCAAGCCTGAAACCAGGGCCACTTTTGCAGGTACGTACAGCGTGTTGTGGCTTTTCTAATGTGTAGTAATACCTCTTGTACCTCCCCTGAGCAGGAGCTTTCTATGCGTTGGAACCATGAAGGAGTCAAGTCTTGAGGCGGAAAATCCCGAGGTTGAGATGTAGAGTGTGTCCTTCATTCTGCGAGAGGAGGTATGGAGTGGATTGAAGACAGATTGACAGGCACGTCTCAAGTTGTGACAGGTAAGACTACCAAGTCTGTCTTGGCCAGGTGGAAGCAATTAGTATGATGTGTGCTCCTTCTCTTTTTATTTTGAATAGGACTTTCAACAGTAGGGGAAACAAGGGAAAGGCATAGAGAAGGTCCTTTTCCCACAGAAGAAAGAGAGCGTTGCCCAGAGAGTGCTGTCCTATCCCTGCTCTGGGGATACTGGCCCAGCAGTAGCATGGCAATTTCCTGTTCAGGTAAGTGGCGAACAGGTCTGTTTTCAGTGTCCCCCACCACCTGAATATGTTGTGAAGCACAACTGGGTTTATCTCCCATTTGTAGTTGTGTGGGAACTTGCAACTGAGACTGTCCACCATCGAGTTTTGTGTGCCGGGAAGGTAGGCCACTGATAGTGTAATGTTATGGGAGATTCACCAGTGCAATTACTTTAGTGCTTTGTGCAAAGAAAGGGCGACCTGACTTCTACTTTTCGATTTATGTAATATATACAAGCTATGTTGTCATTAGGACTCTCGTGTGTGTTCCCTTGACCAGTGAGAGGAAATGGATCCAGGCATTCCTGACTACCCTGAGCTCAAGGATACTGTCTCACATGATCTTCTGATAACAAACTAGGAAAATGCAACCTAGATGGAGCTACTATAAAGTGGGTGCAAAACTGGTTGGAAAACCATTCCCAGAGCATAGTTATCAGTGGCTGACAGTCATGCTGGAAGAACATAACGAGTGGGGTCCCGCAGGGATCAGTTCTGGGTCCGGTTCTGTTCAATATCTTCATCAATGATTTAGATAATGGCATAGAATACACTTATAAAGTTTGCGGACGATACCGAGCTGGGAAAGGTTGCAAGTACCTAGAGGATAGGATTATAATTCAAATTGATCTGGACAAACTGGAAAAATGGTCTGAAGTAAATAGGATGAAATTCAATAAAGACAAATGCAAAGAACTCCACTTAGGAAGGAACAATCAGTTGCACACATACAAAATGGGAAATGACTGCCTAGGAAGGAGTACTGCGGAAAGAGATCTGGGGGTCATAGTGGACCACAAGCAAAAAATGAGTCAACAGTGTAACGCTTTGCAAAAAAAGCAAACCTCATTCTGGGATGTATTAGCAGGAGTGTTGCAAGCAAGACACGAGAAGTAATTCTTCCACTCTACTCTGCACTGATTGGGCGTCAACTGGAGTATTGTGTCCAGTTCTGGGCGCCATATTTCAGGAAGGATGTGGACAAATTGGGGAGAGTCCAGAGAAGAGCGAGAAAAATTATTAAAGGTCTAGAAAACATGACCTGTGAGGGAAGATTGAAAAAATTGGGTTTGTTTAGTCTGGAAAAGAGAAAACTGAAAGGAGACATAACAGTTTTCAAGTATGTAAAAGGTTGTTACAAGGAGGAGGAAGAAATGTGTTCTTCTTAACCTCTGAGGCTAGAACAAGAAGTAATAGGCCTAAATTGCAGCAAGGGAGATTTAGGTTGGACATTAGGAAAAATTTCCTAACTGTCAGGGTGGTTAAGCGCTGGAATAAATTGCCTAGGAAGGTTGTGGAAGCTCCATCATTGGAGATTTTTTAAGAGTTGGTTAGACAAATACTTGTCAGGAATGGTCTAGATAATACTTAGTCCTGCCATGGGTGCAGGGGGTTGGACTAAATGATCTCTCAAGGTCCCTTCCAGTCCTATGATTCTATGTGGAGGGATGTCTTTGTGGATAACCATTTTCCTTGTGTTGTAAGGTCATTTAGCTGTGCGCCCCACCTATGAGTGATGTGTCAGTGGTGAGAAGTAACGAGAGAGAAGTTTGTGAAACGTTTGCAAACATTTGCTGGGTTTTTCCACCAATCCAGGGAGTTTTTGACCATGGTGGGCAGCAACAGAGGTTTGTTTAGTGTCTCTCTGTTTGGTCTGTAGACCAAGCTGAACCACATTTCACCGCATGTGAAGCCTGGCATGAGGTATCACCGCTGTGCTGGCTGCGATATGCCCCAAGAGTTAGAGGCAGTGTCTGGCTGATATTTGGGGGCTGTTTTATATTGTCTCTATGAGTATGACCAAGGAGAAGAACCTGTGGGGGGTAGGAGCACTTTGGCCTGTAATGAATTGAGGTCAGCCCCTATGAATTCCAGGCATTGTATCAGGATGAGGGTTAATTTCTGGGTGTTGAAATCACAGTAGGCCCAGCATATAGCTCCACCTTCAGCCTAAGCTTCTTTGCTGAGCCAACTGTGCAGTAATTGGAGTGTGGGGGAGAGGGAGAGAAAACGCGGATAGATTCCATTATTGTAAAGGGAAGGCGCGAGAGGAAAAGTTTGGGCACCACCGCTCTAACCCTTGTAACGCTCCATTATATTTCTGTCCTGCTCAAGCATTTCCAGACTAACATCCCTCCTCTCTTTTCATGAGAGCCAGACTCTTGAGCATTTAGGTGATGCGGTCTCTCAGATGTGGTGGGAAATATCTCAAATGGCAGGATACACTAAGATTTAAGTGGACCCCACTATCAGCTCCAGCAAGTGGCAACTTGTATACCACTAATTCCCTGTAAACGACACATTAAAGAATCAATAGCAAATATAAAAACATAGCATTTACATAGCTTTTTCATCCACAGATCTCCAAAAGCTTTGCAAAAGGCAAGTAAGCATTATCCCAATTTTAAAGGCAAGCAAAGTGAGGTACAAAGGTGCAGTGATTTGTCCAAGTTGATAGAGGAAGTCTATATCAAAGACGGAAACAGAACCCACAATCCCTTATTTCCAATCCAGTGTACCATCCATTGGATTGTGCTGCCTGCCTCTAAGCACATGGATTTGAAACACTAGACAATCATCTCTCTCTCTCTAAAACATGGCTATGGCTCACCATCATCATAGTACTGATTCTC